GTCGGACGCTTAACCGACTGCGCCACCCAGGCACCCCAAAAAAATATATTTTCTTAAAATTAATGTTAAAAATATATTTTCACTAATAAGTATATTAATGAAGCATTTTAGGGGAACCTGGGTGGCTCGGTCCAACTCTTGGTTTTGGCCCACGTCCTGATCTCAAGGTTTGTGGGTGGACACTTCAAGGGCTTAGCTGCCACACGTGGCTAGTGGCTATTTCATTGGGCAGCACAGGTGCAGAGCAGTCCCTGAGAATGATTACGGAAGAATGACTGGGTCCCCAAGCCTCACGCAGAACATGCCTAAACTACCAAAGACCCTGCTTCCCTCTTGGCCACGGGAGATTGGGCAGGGTCAGTATATGACTCAGGCCCAGCTAAGCAGAGACCTTTCCCAATTTTTTGCTGCTTGTTTGATTTTGTTCTTTGCCGAATCAATCAGAAGTAAGCAAAGCAAGTAACTGGAAGTAAGCGGCCAGGTCTTTCGAGAAGATGCGGGAGGCTTGGCCACGCTGGCAGCCAGGCTTCGTAATACAAGCTGAAGGAGAACAGACGTCAGCAGGAGACGGAGCAGACGGACAGAGGCACGCGGACATGAGCGACAGACAGAGAGTCCTGGGGTCTTCCAGTCCCCGTCCCGGCCTCCCTGAGCTCCAGTCTTGCACCTCTGTTCCCCTGGTGACATGGGAACCTCAGATGCGTCCAATCCGTTTCTTTTCTGCCGAAGCTCGCTCAAGCCAATGCTCTGTCATCTGCAACAAAGGGAGTCCTGACTGATAGACTCGAGCCTTAGAGACGGCCAGAGTGGGGCGGCCTGTCTGCGTCAGGGCACCCCAGGTGCTTTCCTTTCCTGCGCTGGGCTCCAGCGGCACAAGGAGGACTTGTGGTAACAGCACCCGGGGCCATCCAGGCTCCCAGGCCCTCACCCCGTTCCCATGCTGCTCCTGTAACTGGGGCCTATTTCAATAGGGCATTTCATTCCACTTTGGTGGATTTGTTTCAGTGTTCCTATTTGTGCCGGTTCGAATATATCTGTCCATTCTGTATGTATCCATTGACTATAAAGCAAATATAGTTAAGATGCCAACTGTGCGTCCAGGTGGTGGTATATGGGGCGGGGGGGGGGGTCACCGTCATTCACCTTCTCTGTGTGCTTGCCATTTTCAGAGTAAACTACTGAGGGACACAAATCTTTTACCTGCGACTAGAGGGGGAAAGGAGAGAATGGCCAAGGCAGAGAAACGTGACAAGGGCTAGAAAAGGCACAGGCTTGCTGTAGCCCCTTCTGCTATCCCTTCCCTCAAACGCTGCCATTCTCTTTACAGGGTAAGACCTGGAGACCCCAAGAATCAGAAGTGACAACAGAGATATTTGCTTTTGTCCTGACATTTTTTTCCTGTGGGACAAATTTCCAAAAACACTTAGGGGCGCCTAGGTGGGTCAGTCAGTTAAGCAGCCGACTCCTGATCTGGGCTCAGGTCATGATCTCATGGTTCATGAGTTCAAGCCCTGCGTCAAGAGGATTCTCTCTCTCTCCCTCTCTCTCTCCGCCCCTCCCCAGCTCTCCCTCTCTCTCTCTCTCTCTCTCTCTCAAGATAAATACATAAACTTTAAAAAATAAACAAAAAAGCATACCTATCAGTGGCAGAAGCAACCAACATTTCATTGTTCTTAGAAAACCCTCCTGAGTTTTAGACCTTGTTATTAAACACTGTTTTTTTTTTTTTAAAGTTTATTTTGAGAGAGAGCACACACACACACATGCATGCACGAGCAGGGGAGGGGCAGAGAGATAGAGGGAGACAGAGGATCCCAAACAGGCTCTGTGCTGTCAGCATGTAGTCCGACTGAGGGTTTGATCCCAACAGCCGTGAGATCGTGACCTGAGCCAAAATCACGAGCTGGACGCTTAACCGACTGAGCCACCCAGGCGCCCCTAAACACTGCTTTTAAAAACATCTCGATATATTCCAGGAGCTCTAATGGTCTTAAGTATATGCATTAATTTAAAATCTGCATTAAAAATGTGTCCCAAATGTGCTGTAGGTCAAGAATAATAAAAATAAAAGCCACGGAAATAATGAGCAAGTCCAGGGCAACAGAATGATAAACAAAACTGTGTGTAGATCACTCTCTCCACGTGTTACTCCTCCGGACAGCTACCTAGCTTGCCTGAGCTCTCACAGCTAGAAAGGGCTCGAGGCAGCATCCCGACTCAGCCTGGTCTGCCCCGCTCCCAGCCCGTGCTACTCTCACTCCAGGCCGCCATCACACTGCCGCTCCCAGCAGACCCAGTGGACTTAGGCATTTGACGAGTACTGAGTGTCCAACCAGGGGACAGGTGCTTTTCTAAGCGTGAGGGACAGAGCTGTGCAAGAAACCAAAGAGCACACGGTCCCTGCCCTCATGGGGCTTACATTCTAGCCGCTGCGAGACAGATACTCGCCAGGCAGGTAGTAAGAGCGGAAAAGGAAAATGAGGCAGGGTGAGGAGGGTGCATGGGGGGCCACTTTACAGTGAGTGCTCAGGGGTGACATCTGATAAGGTGACATTTGAGCAGAGACTGAAGGGAGACGTGGCAGAGGAACAGGGGTGGGGAGGAGGAATATTCCGGGCAGAAGGAGTGCGCCCGGCTCGTGGAGGGACAGTGCCGCTGGGCACCGGGAGGCTGTGTGGCCGGAGCTCGGGGGGGCAGGGCAGAGGGGACAGCGATGACGTCTGAGAGGGAATGGGATCTCCAGGCCGTCACCGGCTACATCAAGGACTTTGCTTTTCATTCTGAGTGACACGGGGAGCCCCGAGGGACTTTCCCGCAGAGAGGTGACATGACAAATGCATTAGAAGGACCACTCTGGCGTTTGCTGAGAACGGAATGTAGGGTGCAAAGACAAAGCACGGAGACTGCCGAGGAAGGTTGTGCAAGGAAGGCGGTGGCATGAGCCGGGTGGTCCCAAGGGCGGCGGTGGGAGTGGGCTGAAGGTGACATCGAGTCTGATGGCAGAAGTGATGGCGTTTTGTTGACGGCCTGTGGCACATGAGAGAAGCAGGGCCCAAGATGGGGCCACGGGCTCTGGCGTGAGCCACTGAGGGGATGAAGCTGTTCAAGGGGAAGACTCGTGAGGAGCAGGTTTGGGGGCAGGAGAGGGGGAGGGGGAGGAACCCATCTGGGACATGTTATATTCTAGGTGCCTTTCAGACATCCAAGAGGCGAGGTCACAAAAGCCGCTGGAGGGCACCTGGATGGAGACGCAAACTTGGATGTCATCCACTCATACAGCTGATCCCTGAACAGCGCAGGGGTTAAGGGTCCCAATGCCCATGCAGTCAAAAATCCACATACAACTTTTGACTCCCCCCAAACTTACTAATACCCTACTATGGACCAGAAGCCTTACCGATAACATAAACAGTCAATTACCATGCATTTTGTATGTGATACGTATTACATACTGTATTAGCATAGTAAGGTAAGCTAGAGAGGAGAAAATGTTAAGGAAATCACAAGAGAATAGACATTTACGGTACTGTACTGTAAAAAATCGGCATATGAGTGGACTCGTGCAGTTCAAACCCGCATTCAAGCGTCAACTGTAGTATTAAAATTCACGAGAACAGGCGCTAACACCTAGAAAAACTGTTCTCAACAGGGACAGCGCTGACCCTCAGGGAGCATGCTGGAAATGTGTTGGGGGCATTTTTAGTCATCACCCCAATTGGTGGCGCTACTTATATATTTAATGGGTGAGAGAACAGGGAACCCAGACAATCTTGCATGTGACAATCTTGCAAAGACATTCCCAAAGGTGGCATGCCTTCTTATTATTATCTGAGCCTCAAGCATCCTCTTGTTTTACATGTAAAAACAACGTACTTCTGGGGCGCCTGGGTGGCTCAATCAGTTGAGCATCCGACTCTCGATTTCGGCTCAGGTCGTGATCTCACAGTTCGTGGGTTCGAGCCTCACACGGGGCTCTGTGCTGACGGTGCGGAGCCTGCTTGGGATTCTCTGTCTCTGTCTCTCTCTCTCTCTCAGAAATAAACATTTTTAAAAAATGTACTTCTGGCACAGCTTTAAGATGGGCACATGGAACATTCTGAGAATAACTAGGGAAGACTGCATTTTGGTTCAGAACTTTACCAAGAGTGTTCACCATTTGAAAACCATCACATCACTCCCTCAACATCCCTCGTGGTATGTGAGTCATCGACACGACGGGCCTGGGTCAGTCTGTGTCACAGCTACCACATCTGCGGTGCTCTGAGGGGCACCTCAGGCCCCTCGGCAGTCGTACGCAGGCACATGCAGATGGAAATACGGATTATTTAATTATAAACTAACCGCCTGTCAGTTTTCTTTTCTCATTAGGATGTTATTTTGATTTTCCAAGAGTATGTGTGCAGGTAGGTTATAGTGTCTCTGACTCTCATCTCCAGATCGTAAGGGAAGCTAGAAGAGAGACGAGGCCCCAGAACTGCACCTTGGGCCCACCTGGCATTGGAAACCCAAGGGAGTAAGGATTTGCTGCTGGGGAGCGAGGAGGAAACAGCCGAGAAGGTATTCCCAGACGGAGGGCGCTATCAACGGTGTTAGCATGGCTGACGGCCAAGTCAGACAAGGATGGGGCACTGATAACTCCACTTATCAGGCCCATGAAGATCATTGGTGATCTTGACCCCCACCTCGTGCGGTACTGAGGGCAGAACTCTCTCTGGAGAGTCCACGTAATCCAGGACAGGGGATCCCCTGGGACCCTCCTCGGAGCCTCCTTTCTGGCCTTGAGAGGCCACGGGTCTCGCTTACTGCCCTCTTCAATCCTCCCGCCCAGGCCCCCCCTCCCCCCACCCCCTGGGGGCGCCCAGCAGCCCTACGCCAGGCGGGCGCTTCGGTCTGTACCTTGCTGAGCCGGGACTCAAACGCCAGCGAGGTGGAAGACTTAGAACTCTTCATGCCGGAAGAGGCTGCAGGGAGGGGCCGCGCACGGTCCGCCCCATGGCTGCCCGCTTTGATGACTGGACTCCAGGCCTTGGCCGCGCTCCTCATGTTTGTCCTAGAGAGGCCGTCCTTCTGCACAAGACCGAAAAGAAAAACACGTATGTCCACAACTTGAACACGCTGAGTGGCGTCGCAGAGTTTCCCCCCCCCCCCCATCTCCACCTTCCCTCTGTTATCGCAGAGAACGGGGGCTTCTGAGTGGACTTCGAGATGAGGATTCTGCGTTGAAGACGACACCTTTGCATGAGGCTACTTTTTACAACCTCGCAGTGGCTTTTACCAAACTATTGAAAACGTACATGCAATATTATTGATGCTCTGACGTTACAGCAAAAGGACGGCTCCTGGTTGGTCAGGGTATTACTATATTAGCATATGGTATAATACATACTATTATCACACTACAGGATTAGACTGTATACCCACACACTATATATATACCTATCCCCTTAAAACAGGTCAGCTTGGGTTAAGACCTACTATGTCCACAGAGCTTGCAGCTTCAGGGTTGATAATGACACAACCTACCTAATTTTCAAATAGATATAAATGAATTACTTCAAAATTGGAGTTCATAGAAGCATAGCCGTTTTCTTCTTTTTGGACAAAAATGGGTATCATTTAAAAACTAATGGGAGTGCCTGGGTGACTCACTCAGTTAAGCGTCCAACTTCGACTCAGGTCGCAATCTCACGGTTCATGGGTTCGAGCCCCCCACTGCTATCAGCACAGAGTTCATTTTGCATCCCCTGTCCCCCTCTCTCTCTGCCCCTCCCCTGCTCTCTCTCTCTCTTTCTCTCTCTCTCTCTCTCAAATAAATAAACATGAAAACAAATCTTTAGAAAAATAAAGCATTAATGGAGCATATTTTAATTGGTCGGATCTGACATTGGAGCATATTTTAATTGGTCGGATCTGACATTGTAGAGCAGTTACCCGCCCCTAACAAAAATATTTTATGGAAGAAACATTGTGCAAAGTGGCAGGATGTAGTTAAAGGCCTAAGGGGAAAGCCCACATACAAAGTTGTGGAAAGCAGCCTGAGTCTTGTGATCAGCACTCAGGGCTCTCATTCCTGCATGAGGTGTGGCCCGCCATGTCCTGACCTCCCTGAGCCCGTTTCTTCCATCAGTAGCACGATGGGACAGAAGTAAATGCTCTCTAGGGGCTCATTCAGCTCTAACTCTGCCTCTGCGGATTCTCATGACCAAGGGTGTGACACAGAATACCAAAACCACAGGTGATGCCGCATCCTTTCAAAGAAACAAACCCGGAGCGCCTGGATGGCTCAGTCTGTTAAGTGTTAGGATCTCACAGTCCGTGAGTTCGAGCCCTGCATCGGGCTCTGTGCTGACAGCTCAGGGCCTGGAGCCTGCTTCAGATTCTGGGTCTCCCTCTCTCTCTGCCCCTCCCCTGCTCGAGCTCTGTCTCTCTCAAAAATAAATAAACATTAGGGGCGCCTGGGTGGCGCAGTCGGTTAAGCGTCCGACTTCAGCCAGGTCACGATCTCGCGGTCCGGGAGTTCGAGCCCCGCATCGGGCTCTGGGCTGATGGCTCAGAGCCTGGAGCCTGTTTCCGATTCTGTGCCTCCCTCTCTCTCTGCCCCTCCCCCGTTCATGCTCTGTCTCTCTCTGTCCCAAAAAAAATAAATAAACGTTGAAAAAAAATTAAAAAAAAAAAAAAAAAAAAAAAAAAAAACAGTCCCTGACAGAGGGGTCATAGTTGGTGCCAAGTAGCCCCGGGAGCCTCACCACATCCCACGAGACCCCATTAGCCACCTAAAACAAAAGCAATAGGCCCCCTCCCCAGCCTAGCTCGGGCTGTGCCCTCTTCCTGTTTGTTGTCTCCTTTTCCTGGCTGGGGGACGCCATTTCAACCGACAGCACCCCTCAGCCAGGGCCAGCCAGCTTCTCTTCCTACTTAAAGTGATTAGCTCGAGGTGGCATGTGTCCAAGATTCTACCTGGACTCATTCCACTGCCCTGCTGTATACCGGCCACGCGAACATGGCTACAGGTGAAAAAATGTATTTAAAGACTTTGCCATTGTTTGCTACAAGAGTTTCTGAGAAAACTCATCCATGATTTCAGTTGTATGATTAGTTCTGAACCTTAGTAGTCTCAGCTTGGTTTCAGGTATTATGATTACTTTTTTTATTCTGTATTACTTCTTGTGCATTTTATTGACGTTAGCACCAGTTATTTTTCGTTCTTGGCCCACAATTTTTTTTTTTAGGTTCGTTGATTTATTTAAGTGATCTCCACACCCAGTGTGGGGCTCGAACCCACGACCTCAAGATGAAGAGTCACATGCTCTTCTGAGCGCGCCATCCAGGCGCCCCTTGACCCACAATTTTTCATGCTGGTTTCCATGGCAACAGTGAGCGCGTTCTTGGGTTGACAGCTACACAGTAACTAATTTCATTAGGACTCCCCTCGTTAATGAGCTGACATAGCCTGAGTGGTTCTTGAAGAGAATTACTGAGTACTTTCACCAGTTAGTACAGAACCAACCTGTAACATGTCAGTCTGACTTAGGAAGACGCCTTAAGTAAGATACCTGTTTGATCAAGGCATCCTTTTACGTTATGATTACAACGACTTTGTAATGACTAACACAGGGCTTACTTTGTGAAAACATAAGGTGATTCTGCTGTCTTAGTCAAAACTCAAGATCTAAACTCTCTTAGGAGTTGCCCTCTGGCAACAAATATGGCCACCTTCTGGGCAGAGCACCTGGAAAATGTTCAACTCTTTTTCAAAGACTGAGAAGTCACTTGCTCGGAGGCAAAATTCTCAGGGTTATTCCACTTGTATCATTACTCCTTTCTTTATTCTCCTAGAACTCTCTGAACCCAATCAAATTATTTCCAAATGGATGTACCCAGACGGCTTGTCTCATCTGGACCGCTCCTGTCTGCCATGATCTTTTCTTGGCTCCCTTCTCTCGTTTTCCCTGTTATTTCCCCCAGACTAAGCCTTCTGTTTCGACCCATTCACCAGCCAGATTCTTCCCTTCAAATTCCACCTTCTTTCCAAATGCAAAATATACAGGAATGAAATAATTAATGTCCCACTCACACGAACCAGGAAGAGAACCCTATAGGTAGGGAACGTGCCCGGGATGGGACTCCCAGAGTAGTATCGGGCTCTGTAGGATCAATGCAGCTTCCCAGGGATGGGTGAGAGGGTGAGAGCTGGTGAGAGCTGGCCCAGCCAGACCCAGTGCTGGCTTTGCGCCCTGCTCCCCTTTCTCATGGTTTAGGACATTATTAAACTTCTCCCCGCCCGACATCCTCAGCCTGAACCAGTGTCTTCCTAGCGTTCTCCGAGTCTTCTGGAGACTCCCTATCTTCCCTTGCTCTGCCCACCCCCAGCTCTGGGCTCTTCTGGAACAGACTGGAAAGGCTTATGCTCAGACCTATCCACTGGCAGTGCTTGGCCGGCTTTGGCTCTGCTCTCTGTTCACTTCTAGGAAGACTTCCTGCCGGAAGGGGAGCAGGTGCCCATACGCCCCACTCTGAGACTGTTGCAGACTTTCACATGCTCCACTTCTGACACAGGGAACCAGTTAGTTACGGAAACACTGCAGTGACGTGAGAGCAGCTACTCTGTGCCACTCCGAGCCTGGCAAGGCATGGCTAAGTGTTTTTTGTGGGTGTCTCTGTAAATCTTCACCGTAACCCTATGACGTAGGTAGGTATCGCCCCCACTTTACAGATGGAGACACTTTCTTTGGATCAAGGAGGTTAAGCGACTTGCCCAAATCACAGAGTTTGTGATGGGGCCAGGATTCAAACCCAGCTGTCATTGGTCCTTAAACGTCAGGGATGGTATGGCCTCTGTGAATAATCTTTGCTCACAAGGAGGACTTTTGGATCCAACGCTCCTGGTCCAAACCCAGTATCGCTGCTTGCTGTGTGAACTCAGGTGTGCCTTTCCAACACTGATTCTCAACATGTTCACCTAATAAAATGGAGTCGTTACGTGCAGATGGAAAGAAAACATGGATGCCGAGGGCCAGGCACACAGAAGGCGCTCAACGACTATAAGCTGCCTTCCCCACAAACACTGTGACTGTGTTCAGTGGAGGGTGGCTCTGCTTTATTATCTCAACATTACACAGCAATGGATCGATTAAATCCATGTCAGTGGCAGGAACCAGACACACTAGACTCAAGGAAAGTGCTCCTCCTGTACACAGAACAGCCACTTTTCATGTGGAAACATGAAAGAGGGAAAGCAAAGAGGAAAATAAACACTGAGGGCAGACACCCTCCCATCATGAGAATTGGCCCCAACCTTAATCCTTAATGCAGCCTAGCTTCTGAGAACACAGGTACGAATACCGGGTGATTCAGACTTTCCTTCTGGATGCGAGTGAGTGACAGAAAATAAATAGATGAACTCTCGCCAAATACAAGACTTAAAAAAAAAAAAAAAAGGTTTCCATTGTTAATTCCCTGATTTCTGCAAATCCTCCTGAACCATCTCAAAGGATCAAGCTGATGAAGGAATTACAATTAAATCTAGGAACCCACTCCTGCAGGGGTGGGAAGAGCGTCTTCCTGGGGCTGTTTTCTTTAAATTTTCCAACAGTTTTATTTTCTTACCAAGCTTCTTTCCTTTCCAGAACGGAGTTAAGACTTCTATTTAAACCATAACTCATAAACTGTGTGGCATAAAGTAGAAAAGAAAAGAGAGGGGGAGTGGGGCAAGAGGGAGGAGGTAGCAGCTATTTTAGGAATATGATTAGGTGCCTGGGTCCCAGGGAAAGTCAGAGCCCAAGCACAGGCCTCCCACTCCCTCAAAACACATTACTCTGCTGCTTAATCGCTGCCCGCAGAACTTGTGTTGGAAGGGCTGTTTCGGGGCCTCAGATTTATGACCTTTTTAAGGCAAGAGAACAGAAGGGCGATGGGGAAACCATTCTGGACGATCACAAAATAATGAGTGTCTGCGAGTGGGAGAGGCACTGAGGTCTTGACTACAAGTACAATAAGCAGCAGGAAGCGGGAAGCCGAAGCATTCAAGTCTGAGAACTAACAAA